ATTAGTATATAAAGCAAACTTATAAAATAATTGAGCAAATTTCAATAATTTAAGTCAAACAAAGCCATTTAGTAAGATAATGGGAAATGGCAATTCGAATCAGTGATCTTATTTTATGAGGACTCGATTGTATCCAATTATAAAAAAAAACTATTTCATACAAAAACAGTTTTAAGTTGTGCTTTTTGACAAAGGAAGCTATTAGTTTCCAAATCTACACAATTATACATGGGAACTGTAAATTTACATTATTATAATTGATATGTATTTTTTCCACATGTATTTGATGCTTAAATAAATGCAATTATTTGATCATAATTATTTTCGATTGTTATCATATGTACTTATCTAAATATTACTAGTACATTATGTTCGTGCATAGTTATTATTTTGATCTACTTATCCGTAAACATCTCAAAAATGAGAAAATAAAATCTAGAGTTTTACTCAGCAATGCAATGCTGCAAATCATAAGCTTGTATACTTTAAATCGTCTATGATGAGGTTTAAAAAACATATAAGCAGATCAGTATTAAAACATTTTCTCCTCTATCCTTTATTTGTAGTAGTTATGATCAGTAAAATCACATTTCAATTTAAAACTTACACAAAACGCATGTACTAGCAAAGAGCAAATTTCCTCTTCTCCCTTTTTCCTATTCGAACTAAGGTAAGTGAATGCATCTGTCCATTGATTTTTGTAAAGTTCTGTATATTTCTCGGAAAGTTTGGTCGGCCTATTCACATCGCTAAGATCGGCAATATTTGCATTTCCATTGGTCATTATGTTAGCCGGCGATGCGCTGTGTCTAATAGTAATGCATCAAAATAGAATTAACTTAAAAGTTAAGTTTTTCACTGTTCTTAAAAACTCAAAAAAATGTGGCATTTACTTATAAGCAGCTTTTCAGTACCGCTGCAAAGTTAGGATCTTACGGCCAACGGTTGGAAGTCAGCTTTCCGTGACCTACAATAAACCAATTGGTGGCCGCTTTCGCAATCTTGACATTTTATCAATTTCTGTTTATAACTGTTGGCACCTTAATTGGTGTTGCGGGGAAAGAAAAATTGCGACATCCTTGTTATTTTAGATTCAACACTTAAATAGCAAAACAATAATTGAATCTTGTGTTTCATGGAGAATATATACTAAATCATGCATTTTTATAAAACTATATTAATGAATTCTCTGAAATGAGTGATGATGTTTTTGTCCCCTGATTCTCTTTAACGGTTAATTTGATTTGTTCACTTAAAACAGCTTTATTGGAGAATCAAATCGGCTAGAAGGCCAAAGAGTTGCCGACGATCATCACTTTATTTAAACATACGAAGATATTAACTTTTGTCAGAATTGTATTTTGCATTAAGAACTTTGTTTATACATCCCTCGTTACTAGAAAATATATAATGTCTTTATGTAAACAGATTTAATGTATGCATGTGTTCTCTTGAAATTCGCAGTAATGTAAGTGTAACACACATTGTAATATAACATATGTAATTCTTACAGTTTGAGAAAACAAAATACCAAAACATCTACACAATGTGATATATATCATTTTTTTCTATTCTTCTTAATATCTGTTCTCAATGAAGCACTTTATATTGCTATAAGAATAGCTAGTTACCTTTTAAGGATGTCGTTTTTTTCTTCTTTGGTATTTTCCAGTTCGTTCTTTAGAGAATCATTTTTGTGCTCTAAATACTCCAGTGACACTTTATATCTGTATAAAACAAAATAGAGGATATCATCATATTTCGTTATCATTTGGACATTATCTCTGTTAAGCTAAAGAAAATTGATGTATTAAGTCATAGTAAGAAAAATGTATCTTATTTTACAGTGATAATTTTACCGCGACTTTCATTAAAGGAACTCCACTGAGGTTTATGAGGCGAAAAACATAAAATTTCAATTTTTCAAATAGATCAACACTTAAAACAGAAATAACAATAAAATATAACTAAGAAATATGCATACATTAAAAATCGTATGTTTGTTCTCTTCTCAGTCCGATTTGAGTGAAAAGCGTTTAAACTCCTTAATTTTAATTTTGGGTCATTTATCACTATTAAAATAATTATTCTGAAAAAACGGAGCGAGCTAATGATCTAAAATTGTGCACATAAGTTATTCGTACAGATCTAAATCAAATGGAGTAAAAATCTCATACAGTCTCGTCATGTCAAAAAAACCTCATTGAATTTGGCCTGGTGTCGTGTTGTTTTTCATACTGTCACCATCGCACTGTAACCATCATATTGTCACAATAGTACTGTCGTTTTCTAACAATCGCACAATCTCCGACCGGTTAGGCGTGTGCATAGTAAATGAAAATACTGACGTTAGGCGACAGTACGATGATGAAGCTCGACAGAAAGCTGACCCTAACGAAACACTGCAGGTGACTGTAAACTTAAATTTCCTCAATTGTTACTAAAGGCATTCTTATAAAGAGCATTAAATATCATTGTTGTAGTATAAGTATCTACCCTGCCCTCAATTATAATATATGTTTATAATATTTACATTTCGAAGAAGACAAATTCATCAGAAAATGCACAATAAAGCATTGTGTTCATTACTTTTTCCCCGCTCCTTTCCTTTTTAATGTTGGTCTTTATCAATAGTTTGCATACTCTCTTGATAGCTTGATATTTGATTAAATTTGTTTTGTAACTCCCTCTTGTAGCTACAATAAAGATAAATGCCTAAGACTTACGTTTTATTTGGTACCTCGACCGAAAATATGCGAATAAATCATAAAGATCAAAAACAACATTTTGCAAAGACTTACCTCTCTTCCATGTTTTTTTCCTTTTTACAGATACCCTGTTGAACATTTTTCAGACGTTCTTCAAGCTGTATGATTTCACTTGTTTTGCTTTGCAACTCCCTTTTGTAACTGTAAAAAAGATAAATATCTTAATGTTAGATACTTAAATATAGTTTATATATTGGGTATATATTTAACTATTATGCTGACAGATTTTTTTTTTCAAGGTCAAGGTTGCTATACGAAGTAAACGTGTTTTTCGTTAACAGCAGGGAAAAATTGATTTAAAAGTGTAATATTGGATATAAACGTTTAGAAAAATATGTATCTGAATGGAAATTTAATGCAGATTATGAATCTGTAAACGGTTTTTGCTTTTATTTTGGAAAAGGATGATTAATTGAATAAGAAAGGTAAACAATAGTTTATGAGAAATCGCACGATTTTCACGTGTAACACGTAGCTTATCTGGGCGTGTTCGGTCGACAATAACAGTATGTGCTTGTTTTTCTGCATATAACAGTGTGTATTGACAGATAAACATTGCAATAATACTGCAAAATGGTAAAAGATAAGGATAAGGATACTGCAGCTGGAGCGAGGGCTAGGTCGAAAGTAGTTAAGGGAGTGAAACAATTAGACGAGAATTCAGAGGCCGATACATCTCTTCCTGTTAGTCCAGTAGCACTACCTAAGACACAGAAAACAGGCAAACAAAATGATAAACATAGTGATGTTTTAACACAACCTACTCTGGATAAACATTTAAAATCATATACTACCTCTGATGATATGAGCGACTTACTAAAGAACATGCAGGACAAGTTGGACAAACTTGCCTCACAGGAATTCATTGAAACGAAAATGAAAGAAATGATAACAAAATCAATTCTTACTAAGAAACTTGATGATTTAAAACACTCAATAAGAGCAGATGTTCAGAAAGAGATTAACAGTGTTAGAGAGGAAGTGAAGATGTTAGTAACACGAATTTCAACGCTGGAATCCAAGTATTTGTGTTAGGTTTTAAAAAAGCATTTATATTTACTTACTGAATATTACATTAAGCTAAAGACGCTATATTTCATCTTCTATAATTTAAAAGTAATATGAGGTATTTTCGCGATGTTTAACTTATGCATATTATGTTTAAGAAAATACACGTATATATGCGCTTTTTCTGTAGTCTGCAAATATTTAAATAACATTATATGACTCTTGTTTACGTGAGCACGATTCTTTGTGGTGTATTTTGCAACAATTTCAGTGACGGTACAGTATGTAGGGCACTAGCTGGTGAATTTGAGTGGTCAAGCTTACATTTCAAAGTCCATGAGGCACGGTATAACAGTATATATGCTTGTCAGTGACTATTCTGTTTGTAAGTAATTTAGTAAATTATTTATTTAAACTGAAAAGCATCAGGAAAATTAAGAAATTGAATGATAATATCATACAATCACGGACTGTAATTAAAAACTGTTGTACAACTTAATCACTTTTTTTGTGTACAAAATTATTGCTTCATTGTGTATTTTGATTTTTTTTCTCTTTTCTTTGTTTACCTTTTTAAGGAACTAGGTTTGCATTATTGTTCAACTAAAACTGATTTTTCATCAGGACTTATGGTAGCTATTAGCATTGTTTAGATTATATATTAAGAGGAATCATGAAAATATGCAAACATAGATACCAACTTGAATAAGTTTTTTACTGTTTAGCATTTTCTAAAGTTGTTTACCTTTTCCATTTTTAAAAGCTAAAATACATTAAACATGATTTTTTTTCTATTTAATCAACAATGACATTAAAGTTTTTTTAAGGGTTTTGGTGGAAGGTTCGAGTTTCTTCTACTATTTTGTGGAGAGGAATTCTATACAGTGGAACGTACCAGAATTTATAGAAGTATTTTCATATTTATTTTTTCCCATGTTTTATCAATTTCTAAAAAGTATAAATGTACCATCAAACGTAATCTATGACTAATAAGATATCTTTTGTTAGCATGAATGTTCAGGGAATGGTTGACAGGGCAAAACAAAAAGATGTAATTAATTATCTGAAAAGTAAACAATATTCCATTTGTATGTTACAAGTCACTCACTTCTCCACTAAAAAGGAAAATATATACGTTCTATGTGGGAGTACGAAACCTATTTTTCAAATTTTAATAGTCAATCACGTGGTGTTTCAATTTTTATCAACAATAATTTGATTATAAGCTGATCAGTATTGAAAAAGATCTTGAAAGAAATTTACTTATACTTAATTGTAGTATTTGTGACAAGAATATAATTCTTGTTAATATTTATGGCCAAAATAGGGACAATCCAAATTTCTATGACAATGCCTCAGAAAAAATGGCAAATTTGAAGACTCCATATTCATTCTTGCTGGAGACTTTAATTTAGTTTTAAATCCAGATGCTGATTCTTTTAATTATTTGCACTTGAATAACCCTAATGCACGCTTTATTTAGAAGAAATCCCATTAAAAAGGCGCGTCTTGATTTTTTTTTTAATTTCAGACTATCTCTATACTGATCTTGACAATACTAAGATTTTACCTGGATATCGCACAGATCATTCTTTAATTTTCATGTCATTAGAGTTTGGAAAATTTCAAAATGGTAATTCATATTGGAAATTTAACAATTCCCTTCTTCTAGACGATATTTATGTAAATAAAGTAAAAACGGTTATGTTAGATACAAGACCCAACATGCAACAAATGTACCAGAAAATAATAATATTAATGTTTTCCTCTATCTGTTTTGAGATTTGATATAAATGACCAATTATTTTTTGAGACATTATTAATGAATATTAGAGGAATGACTATAAGCTATTCCTCACATAAGAAAAAATAGAGGTAGATAAAGAAAAGAGTCTCACTAAAGAAATAGAGAAAATTGAAAAAGAACAAATTATTAATTATAAATTGCTGGACGCCTAAAAATTAGAGCTTTTAAATTTGAGAAAGAAAAAAATGGAAGGTAATTTCATAAGATCCAAAGCCAAATGAATACTAGAAGGCGAGAAACCCACAAAGTATTTTTGCAATCTTGAAAACAGAAACTATTTTTCAAAATTAATGAATTTTCTAATCTCAGAAAATGGTCAGATTTTAAGAACTCAAGAAGAAATTTTGGTTGAAGTGAAGTGTTTTTATGAGAATTTATACAAATTGAGGGAAGTAGATAACATATCCTTGGTAGAACTTCTTGGGGGTCTAACATACCTTAATTGTCAGACAATTGTAAGCTATCAATTGAGGGAGAATTTACCTATAATGAAATGTTAGATTCTTTAAAACGAATGTCAAACAATACAAGCCCAGGAAATGATGGTTTTACTGTTGAATTTTATAAAAAAAATTCTGGTGTGATATTGGACTTTTACTTGTTAGATCAGTTAATTATGCATATTATATAGGGAAACTTTCAGTTACTCAGAGACAAGGAGTTATAACTTGTATTCCTAAAGGAAACAAAGATAAATTGTATTTGAAAAATTGGAGACCTATCTCTTTATTAAATGTCTCGTACAAAATTGCATCATCCTCAATAGCCTTAAGACTGAAAAATAACTTAAAAGATATTATAAATGAAGATCAAACTGGGTTCTTGCCATGCAGGCTAATGGCTTCCAACATAAGAATGCTTTATGATTTATTTTTTCACTCTGAAAAGAATAACATTCCAGGGTTATTGCTTTTAATTGATTTTGCAGCTGCATTTGATACTGTGTCATGGAATTTTATGCACAAAGTCATCGAGTTTTTTAATTTTGAACCCTCAATAAAGTCTTGGATTAAATTATTTTACACAAATACAGAATCATGCGTTATTATTAATGGACACATGTCAGAGTGGTTCTCACTTCAGAGGGGTTGTCGTCAAGGTGATGCCCTGTCACCGTACTTGTTCATTCTATGTGCTGAAATACTTTCAATATTAATTAGGAAAAACCAAAATATTAAAGGAATCAAAATAAATGGAACTGAGTATAACATTTCTCAATATGCAGATGACACAAGTTTATTCTTAGATGGCACAGAACAGTCTCTTATAACATCAATGCTGATATTAAAATTCTATGCTAAAATTTCAGGCCTTTATATAAACAAGGAGAAAACAAAGGTTGTTTGGTTTGGTACAAATAGAAACAGTATTATGATTTTATGCCCTGAATACAACCTTGATTGGAATAATGATGTTTTTACTTTGCTTGGTGTACAATTTTCTACTGATTTAAAGAAAATAGTAGAACTAAACTATGACTTATAAATAGAAGAAATAAAGAAACTATTTGCAAACTGGTCAAAAAGAATACTTTCTCCAATTGGCAAACTAGTCATTATAAAATCAATTGCCCTAGCAAAATTGAACCATCTTATTTTAAGTATACAAAATCCACATTTGATTAAAATAAATGAAATACAAAACCTATTCTTTAAGTTTCTTTGGAATAATGGTAGAGATAAAGTCAAAAGAATTATTATAACTCAAGAATATATAAATTTGGAGGATTAAAATGATAGACCTTAAATGTTGTATGTGCAGTTTAAAAGCTATATGGCTCAGAAGGCTTCTGAACTCAAATAACAAATACTGCCAATTGGTTGAAGGAACTAACCCTTTCATAAAAGAAATGTATAAATTTGGAACAGATTATTTTAAGACAAAATTACATTCAGACATTAATCCTTTTTGGAGAGATGTTATTTATAGTTATTATACACTTTCTATGAATTTAAAACTATGTAATACTAAGCAGTACTATTTTGTGAACTTATGGTATAATCCAAGCATAAAAATAGGAAACTCTAGTATTTGTTTAAATAGATGGATAATAGGTGGTATTCTTTTTATAGGAGATCTTATCAACCAAGAAGGGGAGTTTTATACATATGATGAATTTTCCTCAATATTTAATATTAGAACTAATTTTTTTAGAACATAGAGGTATAGTAGCTTCAGTAAAAGAATTTTTAAGAAAAGAAAATGTTCAAGATTCACCAAAACAACATAAATATAACACACCTATTCCAAATCCTATATATATAATTAATAGAGATAAAAAAGGATGCCGTTCTATATATAGAGCAATGCAATCTGAAAAACAGTACCCAAATCATTACAAAGGTGGAAAAATGATATAAGGAACATAAATAACAGCGGATGTTTTGAAAATAATTCTTTGTATAATTTGGTTTTCAAATATACAGAGGACCCAAAGTTAATATGGTTTCAGTATTAATAGATTAAACCATAGAATTCTTGCAACAAACTATTTGCTTAAGAAAACGAATATAATCAATGATGATAATTGTTCATTTTGTCATAATGAAAAAGAAACATTGATTCATCTTTTCTATGGCTGTGATGTAACACAACATTTTTGGGAACAACTACAAGTTTATATTAATGATAGATGCCACCTTAATATTCAAACCTGGAGTCAGTTAGGTATATTGTTTGGCAGTGCTCATCTTGATGATGTTATAAATAAAATAATATTAAATGCCAAATATTACATATATTACAGTAACTGTAGATTAAAACAATTAAGGCCTGATATAGGAACTTTTAAACAACAACTGTGTGCCAGTTATAAAATTGATAAATATATGTCCAAACAGTCATTCAAGCATAATGAATTTGAAAAAGCATGGGGAAAATTCAATATTTAAGTGAGCCCCTTATGATTGTGATGTCTTTTCTTTTAGATTTAAATTAGATTTATAATAAGTTTGTAAGGGTGTTACTACATGTTTATAATTTATTCATAATTATTTCTAAACTCTTCCCCCACCAAAATCTGAATGTTTATAATTTAATCATTCTTCCCCCACCAAAACCTGAAAAATTCCTCCAAGAAAGAATTACTTGCCAGTTCATTTATATGTAAGGTTACCGCTTAACGAAAACTATAGTAGTTGGCACCAAAAACCTTTTATATAGGTTTTTTTTCTCTATCCTTTTTTTATATTTTTTTTCTCTTCTTTTTACTTCTCTACTGTCAAGCTGTCTAAAACATTAAAAAAAAAACATCAAAATGAATAAAGTGTTTCTATTAGCACTATTAATTTTTCACTACCTTTTCTAGTGTGATACCTTAAACATGTTTTATCAGTAAATGTGTATGTTTTTTTTTTCTCTCCGGGTAAGGGTTTATGTGGGTTATGTATTTACAAGTGAATTGTTTTGATGTAATTTCTTTAGTTGGAAAATTGACTGGTGATATAATACCTGTATCATTTTATATTTACTGTTTTTTGTTGTTGTTGTTGTAAAGACATAAGTTGGCTATTATATATATATATATACAGTCACATTCCTCCATTTACGGGGCATCGGTCTATTTGAGACCATACTTGTGGGGTTTATATTTAATGTGGGGCATACATAAGGCCTCGCAACTCTGGCATGTTTAAAACGATGTATAGGGGCGTAGGCTACCCTTCTAACATAGTGCCCGTAGGCCGGTTTTAGTAGTAAATGATATATGTCCCACAAATGTATATATTTTTAATGGGGTTTTATGTTATTGGTCAATATGTTTTCACCTATGGTAAAACTAAATATATAGTTATATAACTTAGTACCCCTTAGTTCTGTTGTTTGGAAATGTCATTATATGCCTACATAGTGGCATATATAAAAACTGACTGCATGAAATAATGCCACTCAACTCGGTCTTATAAATAGGCCCTGTAAGTGAAGATATGTGTGAATATATATATATATATATATATATATATATATATATATATATATATATATATATATATATATATATATATATATATATATTATATACAGGATTACTGTCGGTTGTTGTTGTATCTTTAATGAAGATTTGAAGATATAATTGTTGTTTTTTTTATAAGAATAATATGAAAATCAGAAGTGTTTTTGGAAAACATTAATTAAGAATGTAAATAGCATGCTATAATTATGAGTTTATTTCTTCATTAAAAATGTATTATGTTACAATCAATCAAATAGTATAAACATTCAAAGTAGAAATATACTTTTTTCTCACAGTCAACAGAAAAATAAGAATAATGTTATAACATTTCTTGTTATATGTTGGACATAAAGAGTTTAATTATCGACAGCTTAGATTGTAATTTAAAAATATATTACATTATAAAACAAAAACAAAAAACTCCCATAGAATTTTTAAAAATTAAAATCTTTATTCGAATTAGTACTTGTAACATGTATTATATATTATTATTCAAAAAGATAATCTAAGTTTGAATGTATTGTGTATTTTTTGTATGTGTGTAAAAATATGTTTATTATTGGGAAAAATAAATGGGTAACCTATGGTTACTGAAATTAAAAAAAACTATTATGTTGACATGAGAAAATGCATAATATCGAAAAAAAGGTCATATTGGCACCGAGTTTCTCATTCGAACAAAAATATGGCTCAGTATTTCATGTAGCATTTACAGCAACATAAAACCCCAACAAAGATTTGTTTGATTTACGATTTCTTTCTCTGTATGAAACGATACAGTGTCAAAATAATTAACCTCATATGTTTCTTAGCGGGTGTAACTTAGAATTTCAATTCTTCAAATTTAATCAAGTTATATAAAATTATGCACTTAATGCTTGATTGACAATCATTTAATGTTTAATTTAGCAATGACATTCCAAATAATTCTCGATGTCGTTCCTTTTATTTGTAAGCCTTTGAATTTCACTTGAAATATAGATTCTAATGTTATTTTCAAAGTTTAAATAAACAAACTATTATAACAACTATACAATGTGATACATAATCTAATGGTACTCTTTCCTTTTTCTTCTATGTATCTGTTATTGATCAATCACATAACATTACTATTATAATACCTAGTTACTTTGTAAGGATATCGTTTTTTTCTTGTTTAGTCCTTTCCAGCTCGTTCTTTAGAGAATCGATGTTTAGCTCTAAAGAATCAAGTGTTATTTTATATCTGTATAAATCAAAATGGACGGATATCGTCATATTTCGCTAAGTTATCTTACAGTGATAATGTTACAGTGGCTTTCATTAAACCATGCATCTATCGTGTTCCAGACGAAAAGCGCGAAACACGACAGTACACTTGTGACAATACAATAGTACGATGCTGACATTACGAAAGAGGACAGTACGATCATGATAGCATGTTGTTCTCTCGTACAGTTACCATCGTACCGTCTTGCTGTCTTACGTACTGTTAACTGTGACAGAACGATGCGTTGACCCTTACGAAATACCACAGAATACAGTAAATTTTGAGTTCCGCTAAATCGTTACTAAAGATATTCTAGTAAAGAGCATAACCTACATGTATATTATTGTTGTCAAAGTATAAATCATACCCTCAAATATAAAACATGTCATTAATATTTTAAAGAAAATATAATCATCAGAAAAAGAAAATTAAAACATAATATTATTTACCCTCACACCGCCCTCCTGATTTAAATCTATAAAAAGTTATTCGGAAATGACAATTATCTACCCTTTTCTTTTTTCTTCTAAGTATCTGTTATCGATTAGGTACATAACATTTTTATATAATCAAAAGTTACCTTGTAAGCCTATCGATTTTTTCTTGTTTAGTCCTTTTCAGTTCGTCCTTTAGAGAATCGATTTTCAGCTCTAAAGAATTAAGTGTCATTTTATATCTGTAAAAAACCCAAATACTTCTTTCTTTACATATAATGTAAATGGATTATCCAGTAAAACTAAACGAACGAGCGTTTTTCATTGGTTAAGATCAGAAAAAGTTGATATATGTTTACTTCAAGAGGTACATTTTAAAGAAACTTGTAAAGATGAATGGGAAAATGACTGGGATGGTACAATTATATGTAGTGGCAATTCGAATAATCAAAAAGGTGTTGCTATCTTGTTCAGAAATGATTTGAAAATACAAATTCTAGAAAAATATGAAATTGAAATTGGTAGATTGTTGGCAATTAAAGTAAATATTGAAAATAAAGAAATAATAATAATAAATATATACGGTCCAAACAAGGATGATGTAGACCTCTTTCAAAAATTAGAGTTATTTTTAAAAGACAAAATACAACATGTTTTTATAATAGGAGGAGACTTTAACACAATAATTGATCCTAACATCGACAAACAGGGAGGAAATGCTTTTACTCATTTAAAATGTCGTCAAAAAATTACAAATATTATACAAACATACCAGCTTTTAGATATTTATAGGATCCAAAATCCACAAAGCAAACGATTTACATGGCGATCGAAAACACATGCAAATATAGCATGCAGGTTGGATTATTTTCTTGTTTCAAATGATTTAGTAAATTTTGTTAAAACTACAAGAATCAAAACCAGCTTTAGATCAGATCATTCAATTGCATTTTTCAATATCAGTTTTGATTTAGTTAAAAGAGGCCCAGGGGTTTTTAAATTAAACAAAAGTCTTCTCTTTGATAAAGAATATCAAGAAAAAATACGACAATTAAATATACTAGCAAATCCACAAACCAGATGGGAAGTAATTAAAAGTACTATTCGAAATGAAACAATTAAATATTCAAAGTATAAAAAGAAAATCGAAAGAGAAAAACTAACCAAACTTGTCAAAGAAATTGATGAAATAGAAACTAAATTAGAAAATTTTAATGACAATTTAAAAAAAGAACTAGATATCAAAAAAGCAGAGTTGGATAACTTATATACTAAAAGTATTAATGGTGTAATTACTAGAATAAAAAGTTACTAAATAAATAATGGCGAAAGAAATATAAAATTACTAAAAGGATTAGAAAAAAGAAATGCGGAAAGTAAACTTATAAAATGTTTAAATGCAAATGGTAATATTTTAACAAATCAGACAGACATTTTAAATGAACAGAAAAAATACTATGAGAATCTATATACCATTCAAGACGAAACTCCCTCAAATTACAATTTTTTCAATGGCGAAACAACACCAAAACTAAATGAAAACGAAAAACAATCTTGTGAAGGAATTATTACGCAAACTGAATGCGAAACTGCCATCAAAGATATGAAAAATGGAAAAAGTCCAGGTTCAGATGGTTTAAGTATAGAATTTTATAAAATATTTTGGAATTATTTAAAAGATGATTTGATAAGTGCTCTGAATTTTTCTTTTGAAATTAATTGTCTCAGTCAGCTACAAGCACAAGGTTAAATAACTCTAATTCCAAAACCAAATAAAGATTTATCAATATTGTCAAACTGGCGACCAATAAGTTCACTGAATGTAGATTATAAAATACTTACAAAGGTTATCGCTAATAGAATTAAACGGGTGTTAAATACACTCATTGATGATAGTCAAACAGGTTTCATTAAAGGGCGATACATAGGTGAAAATATAAGATTGCTTTATGATGTGATAGAGTATGCAGAAAAGAATGATAAACCGGGACTTCTATTTTTTGCTGATTTTGAAAAAGCATTCGATAGCATAAGCTACAAATACGTATTTAAAACATTAGATCTTTTTAACTTTGGACACAAAGTGGTCCCTCGGAAGCATTAATCACAACAAAATAAAAATAAGAATTGCAGACTCGGTTTGATTGAGTCTGTACATGAGGGATAATGAAAAAGTGCAACATCCCTCACGCCCCCTAGCACCGGCTTGAGCGGTACTCAATTCTCAACACTTTATAGTGTTGGCATCAATGATCCCGAAGGACCATAAAATATAACCACACTGAAGTGAAGTACGGGGCAACTTTTTACGGCTGCCACACGGCACTTGACACCTGCTATTGTGAAGTACAAAATTCTGGAAACAAAGTGATCCCTCGGAAGCATTAATCACAACAAAATAACATAAGAATTGCAGACTCGGTTTGATTGAGTCTGTACATGAGGGATAATGAAAAAGTGCAACATCCCTCACGCCCCTAGAAGACATATACAAAGTTTTATAAAAATGTTACCTCTCTTCCCTATCTTTTGTTTTTTGTAAAGTAATCCTGTTGAATATTATAAGATGTTCTTCAAGACGGGTAATTCTACTTGTTTTGGTTTGTAACTCCCTTTTGTAACTGTGAAAAAGGTACATTTTTCATATTCAGGTACTTGATTGTTAACATTGTAAATAATATTTTGTATATATTTTACTATTAATATGTAAAGTGTGTCGGAAGAAGGTTGAATTGGTTATCACTTTCTCATTCGACTTTGTTTAAACGCAATTATTGGAATATTTGAAACAACAATAGCAAACATAAAGAACAATTGATTAATTAATATTCCAAAGACTCGATATTTTATGTAGCTTTAATTGCAACATAAATCTCCGACGGAGTTTTGATTTGGTGGCGTCTTCTTCTTCAGTATGATACGATACAGACTTCATTGTATTTTACCTCATAGTTTTCTTACCCAAATACTTAAGGCGGATGTTAATTAGATTTTCAATTATTCAAATTTGTACAAGTTATATATGCCGTAATTGCTTGATTGACTATTGATTATTTTGATATATTTATATTAAAACAAAAGTAACAGATATCGTCATATTTCGTTAGGTTATCTTGCAGTTATAATTTAACAGCGGCTTTCATTAAATTATGCAACCTATCGTGTTTCGTTCTTTCAGAACGAAAAGAGCGAATACGACAGTACGATGTTGACATAAAGGAATTACATTTAGCGAATCACGTCATTACGGTGAAAATAGTACATTGTACTTTCGTAAAATTAACAATAGTTCTGTCATGTTGTTTGTAGTACTGTCACCATCGTACTGTCACAATTGTACTGTCACCATCGTATTGTCAACATCGGACAGTCGTTTTGTCAGTATTGTACAACATCCGAACTGGTTAAGCATGTGCATAATGAAATATTAACATGAATGAAATTGTTGACTGTAGGCGACAGTACGTTGATGAAGTGCAACAGAACGATGCGCTTGCCCTAACGAAACGCCGCAAATAATGTTACTCCGCTAAATGTATATTATTGTTGTAAATGTATATTTCCTACCCTCAAACATAATACATGTCTATTACATTGAATTTTACATTTTGTAGAAGAAATATTTATCAGAAAATAAAAAATAAAACATTATTATTTCTTTTACATTTTTCCCGCTCCCTTTCCTACATGTTTGTCGTTTTCAATAATTTTCATGTGCTCTTGTTTTTGTGATATATGATTTAATTTGGTTCATAGCTCCCTCTTGTAACTCCAACAACAATTAACGCTTAAGGCTTACATTTTACTTCGTATCTTGACTTAAAGATAAAGAACTATAATGTTCCCTATCGTTTTTCTTTTCTTCAAGCTGTGAAATTTCACTTGTTTTGTTTATTATCTCCATTGTGTAACTGTAAAAACGACAAATATCTTTAATTTCAGATACCCCACTGTTAATATAGTTTATATATTGCGTATATATTTTACTATAATATTAATATAAGAAAATGCATAATATTCAAAAGAAGGTTATATCGTATTGGAGCTTGACCTAACGAAAATATGTTTTAAAGAAATAAAACAACAAATGAAAAACAAAACGTTAAGTTCAAGTAATTTCGTAGACTCGGTATTTCTTGAAGCTGGAACTTTGTAGGAGTTTCACTTGGTTGGCGTCTTCTTCTCTGTATGAAATAACAGTGTTCAAAATAATTTACCTCATAGATTTCTTACCTGAACACCTAAAGCGGGTGTAAAGTAGAATTTCAATTCTTCAAATTTGAACAAATTATTAATGCAGCTATTGCTTGATTGACAATCGATAAAAATATAATTTAGCAATGACGTGTCTAACAAATTTTCAATGTCGTTCCTTTCATTTGTAAGTCTTTGAGTTTTACTCGAAAGATAGAATTTATAGTAATTTTCATATACATATACACAATGTGATATAATATCTAAGCTACTGTTTTTTCATCTTCTAAGTATCTGTTATCGTTGTAGTAGTACTACATAATATAGCTATTATAAAAGTTAGTTACCTTGTAAGGATATTGTTTTGTTTTTGTTTAGTTATTTCCAGTTCGTTCCTCAGAAAATCGATTTCGAGCTCTAAAGAATCAAGTGTCATTTGATATATGTATAAAAAAATGGACGGATATCGTCATAGTTTGTTGGGACATCTTAAATTGATAATATTACAGCATCTTTCATTACATTATGCAAGCTATTGTATTATATTCTCTCAGAAGAAATAGCGCGAGGTACGACAGTGTTGACAATAAGACAGTACGATGATGATATTACAAAAGTACAGTGGCGACACATGACTATTCGATGATGATAGTATATAAATAACACATGGGTTTGTGGGTAACAGTAAAAATATCATCCGCCGAAGGTAAAAGTATTTTTACGAGGGATGATATTTTTACTGTCACTCACAAACCCATGTGTTATTTATTTTATTACCCCGAAGAAAAATACTGTGAAGATCTGAAATTGTCAACTCAATCTAACTGTAACAAAACTAAATAAAGAGTAACAACAACTAAACTGTCCTTACCTTTTAAGTTTTAAGTGTACTTCATGCCTACTTGAGAAATTTTCTTTTATTTTTTAAGCAAGATATGAAATCTACCAGTCATTAACATACAATACGCTGTGTTCATTTTGAAAACAAAACACTAACCCATTAATAAGGTTATGCAATGTGAAAGCTGAGCCTTCTGTATCCAGATTATTCTTCGTCAGTTTTTGAAAAAAGAAAGATGATTATCCTATGTCTGTCCACAATATCTGTAACGTTTCACTGATTAAAATTGTTAAATAATCTTTTGTTACATGCTTAAATCGTCTGCATGTTCCAGTTTGACACATAATTATTTACATTGCAATTACCTCCGTTGTAAACGGATGTTTACTTTTTGACTATTTAACAAAAAGATATTGTATACGCTAAAAGCACACCAGGGTGCAAACAACTAAATTGTATTAGTGTCATTGTTACTCCAAATAAGATGTTAATGTCATATCGGGGTTTAACGTCGGAAATTAGAATGAATCGAGAAAAAAATGGCGGCCATTTTATTTCATTTTATATAGAAAATAGACCACGTGACCAGATTGTATACTGTTAAAAATACTGTTACCTATGTTACAGTACAAAATTCTTAGTCACGTACGTGGTACACATGCATTAACAGTAAGAATAACTCCCAGAAGCCTATGGGAAATTAACATTACGAAAAAAGTGAGGGGTAATAATACATTGTACTGTCGCATGGGTTACCATCGTATGGCGTACCTATGTCATACTGTCACCATCGTACTGTCACCATCGTATTGTCATCATTGTACTGTCATTTTGTCACAATCGTGCTATCTCTTGCCCTGTAAAGCATGTGCATTAAAATATAAACATGCAAGAAAACGTTGACAGTATGGTGACAGAACGACGCGCTTTCCATCACGAAACAACGCAGGGGACCGTTACTTTTAATTTTCTGCTAAATCGTTTCTAAAGGCATTCTAATAAAGAGCATAACCTATATTATTGTTGCATATGTATCTTTACTACGGTAACCCTAAAACACAATACATGTCTGTTACAAAGATGACAAATACAACATTTTATAAAAATGTTACCTCTCTTCATTATCTTTTTCTTTTTTACAGTAATCTTGTTGAATATTTTTAAGATGTTTTTCAAGCTCGGTAATTCTACTTGTTTTGGTTAGTAACTCCCTTTTGTAACTGTAAAAAAAGGTAAATTTCTCTTATTTCATGTACTTGATTGTAAAAATAGTAATAAACATTTTGTGTATATTTCACTATCATGTTCAAGTGTGTAAATGAAAAATATCGGAAGGAAGGTAGAATTTTGGCTATGAATCTTTCATTCGACTATGTTTAAACGCAATCATTGGATAATTTGAAGTACCAATAACAAGCGTAAAGAACAATTTATAAATAGATATTCAATAAACTCAATAAAGTCTCCGACGGGGTCTATTTGTTTGCCGTCTTCTCCTTCAGTATGATACGATACAGTGTTCATTGTATTTTACCTCATAATTTTCTTACCTGAATACTAAAAGCGGAACCGATGTAAATTCGAATTACAATTTTCAAATTGGTACAAGTTATATGTGCAGTAACTGCTTCATTAACTTTTGCATATTGCTTATTTGATATCTATATAAAACAAAATGGACGGATATCATCATATTTTGTTAGGTTATCTTTCAGTAATACTTATACAGCGGCTTTCATTAAATTATGAAACGAACGTTCTTTCAGAACGAAAAGAGCGAAACACGACAGTACGATGGTGACATAAAGGAATTACATTTAGCGTATCACGACATTACGATGATAATAGTATATTGTACTTGGTAAAGTTAACAATAGTACTATCGTGCTGTTTGTCGTACTTTCACCATCGTACTGTCACAATCGTACTGTCACCTTAGTTTTGTCACCATCATACTGTCGTTTTGTCAGTATCGTACATTGTACAATCTCCTGCCTGTTAAGCATGTGCATTAACTTACATTTTACTTGGTGTTTTGACTTATATTATGTAAATAAAACATAAAGATCAAAAACTGTAATCACAAAAATCATACCTCTCTTCCCTATCGTTTTTCTTTTCTTCAAGCAGTGTAATTTCACTTGTTTTGTTTTGTATCTCCATTGTGTAACTGTTAAAAACGACGGATATCTTTAGTTTTAAATACTCTACTGTAAATATAGTTTATACATTGCGTATATATTTTACTATTATGTTGATGTGAGATTATGCATAATATCCAAAAGAAGGTTTCAGATTCGATATAAATATCGGTTCTCAACCTAACGAAAATATGTTTTAAAGAAATAAGTGGAAAATTTGAGACATCAATGAAAACAAAAACCGTTAAGTTCAAGTAATTTCATAGACTCGGTATTTCTTTCAGCTTTGACTGGAACATTATAAGAGTTTCACTTGGTTGGCGTTTTCTTCTCTGTATGGAATGACAGTGTTCAAAATAATTTACCTCATAGATTTCTTACCTGCATACTTAAGGCGGGTGTAAATAAAAATTTCAATTCTTCAAATTTTAACAAATTATAAAAGCAGTTATTGCTTGATTGACAATCGATAAACATATAATTTAGCAATGACATTTCCAACTAATTTTCCATGTCGTTCCTTTTATAGTAAGACTTTTAATTTGACAGGAAATATATATTTGATTTTAATTATCAACATATGCATAATCTGTTATATTATATAATGATACTGTTTCCTTTTCTTCTAAGTATCTGTTATCGATGAAGTACATAAAATCGTTATTATAAAAGCTTACCTTAAAAGGATATCGTCTTTTTCTTGTTTTGTACTTTCAAGTTCGTTTCTTAGAGAATCGATTTTGAGCTCTAAAGAATCAAGTGTCTTTTCATGTCTGTATAAAACAAAATATACGGATATCGTCATTTTTAAGTAAGTTATATTACAGTGATAATTTTACAGCAACTTTCATTAAATTATGCAAACTATTGTGTTTTGTTCTCTTAGAACAAAAAAAAAACACGAAACATGACAGTACAATGTGGACAATACGACAGTACGATGGTGATATTACAAAAGCACTGTAGCGAATCACGAAATGAAATACGATGATAATAATTTATTGTTTTTTCGTAAAGTTACCATTGTACTGTCGTGCTGTTTGTCGTACTGCCACAATCGTACTGTCACCATCATATTGTCACCAACGTAAAGTCGTTTTGCCACAATCGTACAATCTCCGCCATGTTAAGAATGTGCATAATAAAATATTACCAAGAAGGAAACTGTTGACTGTAGATGAAGAATGACAGAACGATGCGCTTACCTTAACGAAACGCCGCAAAAAACTGCAAATTATAACTTTGCTAAATGTATATTATTGTTGTATAACTATCTATCCTAACCTCAAACATAATACATGGCTGTTACATTAAATTTTACATTTTGAAGGAGATATATCAGAAAATAACCAATAAAACATTATTATTTCTTTAACGTTTTCGCCTGTCCCTTTCCTTGTTATGTTCACCTTGGTCTTTTCAATATTTTTCATGTGTATTTGTGATATTTGATTTAATTTGTTCTGTAACTTCCTCGTCAATTAACGCTTAAGACTTACATTTTACTTCGTATTTTGACTTATAATATGTAAATAAAACATAAAAGATCAAAAACTTAAATAATTAAAAATCTTACCTCTCTTCCCTATCCTTTTCCTTTTCTTCAAGCTGTGTAATTTCACTTGTTTTGTTTTGTATCTCCATTGTGTAACTGTTAAAAACGAAAAATATCTTTAATAATATAATAGATACTCTACTGTAAATATAGTTTATACATTGCATATATATTTTACTATTATGTTGATATGAGAATATGCATAATATCCAAAAGAAGGTTTCAGATTCGATCTCAACCTAACGAAAATATGTGTTAAGGAAATAAGTGGAAAATATGAAACACCAATGAAAAAACTTTAGTTAAAGTAATTTCATAGACTCGGTAATTCTTCCAGCATTGACTGGAACATTATAGGAGTTTCACTTGGTTGGCGTTTACTTCTTTGTATGGAATGACAGTGTTCAAAATAATTTACCTTATATATTTATCAACTGCATAATTATGGCGGGTGTAAATTAGAATTTCAACTCTTCAAATTTTAACAAATTATAAATGCAATTATTGCTTGATCGACAATCGATGAAAATATAATTAAGCAATGGCATTTCCAACTAATTTTCCATGTCGCTCCTTTCATTTTTAAGACTTTGAATTTCACTAGAAATATATTTTAATGTAATGTTTACAGTGGAAATAAACATAATATGAAAACATATTTACAATGTGATTTATTATGTAATGATATAGTTTTCTTTTCTTCTAAGTATCTGTAATCGATGAAGTACTTACTATCATTATTATAAAAGCTAGTTACCTTGCAATAATATCGTCTTTTGCTTGTTCAGTACTTTCCAGTTCTTTCCATAGAGAATCGATTTTGAGCTCTAAAGAATGAAGTTTCTTTTTATACCTGTATAGAACAAAATGAACGGATATCGTCATATTTCATTAAGGTATCTTACAGTGATAATTTTACAGCGGCTTTCATTAAATTATGCTAACTATAGTGTTCCGTTCTTCAGGACGAAAAGAGCGAAATACATGAAATACAACAGAACAATGGGGACAATACGAGAGTACGATGGTGATTTTACGAAAGAACAGTGCCGAATCACGAAATTACGATGATAGTAGTCTATTGTACTTTCGTAAAGTTACCATCGCACTGTCGTACTAATTGTCGTACAGTCACCACCGTACTGTCACCATCGTATTGTCAATATAGTACTGTCGTTTTGTCACTATCGTATTATGTCCGGCCTGTTTAGCACAATAAAATGCACACATGAAGGAAAACGTTGACAGTAGACGACAGTAGTATGATAAAGCGTGACAGAACCATGCGTTTCCATCACGAAACACCAAAGGAAACTGTTAATTTAAATGTCCGCTAAATCGTTGCTAAAGGCATTCTAATAAAGAGCATAACCTATATAATTACACAATTATTGACTAGTGAGCCATTGAATATGACTTTCTGCCGGTGAATATCATATCATATGCAATGGCTCACTTGTCAATACTTGTTTTATTATATGGATAGGCTAATAAATAAACAAAATCCCAAAATGTACAACCTTATATACATGTACAAATTCTGCCACGTTGAAGCGAGGGAAAGAAGACGCACGTGTTATGCGTGGAACGACTAAGCGAAAGCTGCGCATACAAAAATAATTCAAGTTTATACTCATCATTGCAGTGTAGCCTTTAAGTATAATAGTAAAGTAATAATATTTAAATCGATAAATATGACATAAAGAACCAAAAGCAACACTTATTCAAATTAACACGCGTAATTAACAGTCTACGGTGTATGATCATTGAATATGAGTCTCAATCTATTTTTAGACTGGGAAAATCTAATTCAGCCAGTGAATATGATAATAAACCCTGTGAATATGATTTTATAAAAAGTTATGTTGACTACTGTTTGGACCAATGAGATTGCAGCTATATTTAGATCATATAATAATGTTGTATATGTATCTACCCTACCCTCAAACATATTACATGCCTGTTACATAGAAGACATATACAAAATTGTATAAAAAAGGTTACCTCTCTTCCTTTTTACAGAAATCCATTTGAATATTGTTTAGATGTTCTTTAAGGTCGGTAATTCTTCTTGTTGCGGTTTGTAACTCCCCTTTGTAACTGTGAAAAAAATAAATTTCTTTTATTTCAGATATTTGATTGTTAAAAATAGTAATAAAAATAGTGTAGATCTTCTATATATTTTACTATTATGATGAAGTGTGTTTATATACTATTATTGACTAGTGAGCCATTGAATATGATGTGATATTCACCGACTGATGACATATTTACCGAGGCGGTAGCCGAGGTTAATATGACTTTCTGCCGGGGGATATCACATCATATTCAATGGCTCACTAGTTATATGAATAGGCTTGGAAATAATACTAAAATAACAAAAGTACAAACTTATATACATGTTTTAATTTTGCCTCGTTGAAGCGAGGGAAACAAGACGCACGTGTTACATGTAGGCGTGCAACGACTACGCGAATGCTGCGCAAATAAAAATAATTCAAGTTTATACTCATCATTGCGGTGTAGCCTTTTATTATTATAGTAAAGTAATGATATTTTAATCGAGATATATGCCATAAAGAACAAAAATCAGCGATTGTTTTTTAATTAACACGCGTACTTAACAATCTACGGTGTATGATCATGGAATATTCGTCTCAATCTATTTTTAGACTGGGAAAATCCAAAATCCAGTGAATATGACACTACACCAAATGAATATGATTTTATAAAAAAATTATGTTGACTGCTGTTTGGACCATTGAGATTGCAGCTATATTTAGATCATTTAATAGTGCATAATATCGGAAAGATGGTTGACTTGGCTAGGGATTTCTCATTCGACATTGTTTAAATGTAATTATTGGAAAATTTGAAACAACAATAACAAACATAAAGAACAATTTATTAATAAATATTCCATAGCCTCGATATTTCATGTAGCATTGATTGCAACATAAATCTCCGACAGAGTTCCACTTGGTTGGCGTCTTCTTCAGTATGATACGATACAGGGTTCATACATATAGTATGTTACCTCATAGTTTTCTTACCCGAATACTTAAAGCGGATGTAAATCAGAATTTCAATTTTTCAAATTTGTACAAGTAATATATGCAGTTACTTCTTGATTGACAACTGATCAAAATGTTATTTAGAAACTATATATACTTATTTTATATAACTTTTTTTAAACTATATAATATTTCTTAAGAAAAGAATATGTAAATGACAATGGTTAAGTTTGATAATTTGATAATTTTTGGAAAAGATAAGCTTATCATGACGTTTTATGTAAAAAATATATAATCTGCTTAAATGCACTCCGTTATAAAAGTAAATCAATTAATGTTAAGCAAATAGATAAAAGAAAACTGTTAAAATGTGAAGATTTTATATTTTATGCACAATGTGTCGTTATATATCACTACCAATTTCATTCAAGCTTTTGTTTTATTAAAACAAAAAAATCTTAAGAATAGATTAACCATTTAATAATTATACAATATGTTTAAATTTCTTACCGTAAAGCCAAGGAGTGATCAGTAGGCTGAGGCGGCTGATACCTCTTTTCATATTTTTTATGATTTCCACGATTGCTCTTTTTGCTGTTAGAAGTTGCATTACTAGAATCGTTATCTGTTTTAGAAAAACTAGAACCCATTTTCGTTTGTACCGGTCTTATATTACCTCTAAAGTCTCCGATTAAAAGCTTTGTACCAACTGTAAAGAATTAATTTTGATAAATAAAATGAATATGATGTCACATGCACATTGCATTGTCTGTTACAAACATGTTTAGATTTATTTTTAATTACAGATAAGAAAACAACAAACAATCGATTTTATCACGCCACATTACATATTAATTGATTTATTTAAATAACATTATTTCCATTGCCATTTACAAAATGTAAATATAGAGAAATCCTAGATTTACATTTCTCTTTTTGTTTTTAGGTATTCTCCGTTGGTACAAGTTTGAAGATGTATTTATTAGTCATTTTTTCAATATTTGAGTAGCCGAATCGTCGTGTTAATGTGCTGGCCACACCCATCGTTGAGAAAATCCGTTTCAAGTTCCGATATAATCAGAAATCTATTAGTTTTTGAAATTTAAATATCCATAGAAATACCTACTGTAGTCTATGTGAAGAGAAGCGTGTACAAAAACAAATCGATTTATATTTAAATTTAATTTTGCTTTCAAAAAGGAACTGAATTAGGATAATTATCTAACATAAAAATGGCTGAATTTCTTTATAAGAAATAAGCAAATAAAAAGCAACAAAAGAATGCGCGATTCTCAACTTATATTATAAACTACAAAAAGTTAAATGGAAAATGATTTTTTTTTAAATTTCACAACGTATAAGAATATATCAAATCCATATTAAATTTTCTTACCTTGATCTTATAGGCGAGAGTAAAGTTGCGTTCAATTATTTAAATTTCAAACCGGTTTTAATTCAAAAAGGTTTTATTGGCAAATGTACAATACTATTTATGAAGGCTATATTTATTCATCTACCTCATGAAAACATTTATAATTTACGTATTCGCTATCGGAATAGCTCAAGCATAATTTTGCATGTGAATAGCCACTGGTTTGTCTCGCTGGGTTTCCGGAAATTTAAAAAAAAAAAAAAATTATTATTATTAATTATGAGAATTTTTGTATCACATGTGCAGATCCATATTATATGTGTAATTTATTGTATATTGCTGTATTTATATTCATGAAAGATTCTGTATTTATTGGACAAAGTTTTTATTCCCGCGTTAACGTCACGTTCTGTTTAGCGTATAGTTAAACGGACGTTGCGTCATTTGTCATTTGTTATTTTATAAACGTCAATTTTTTCTGAAGAAGACTAAACGTCGAAAGCTTAAGAAAAGCGTTTGTTTTTATTGAACTGATTATATACGGAAATTTAAAATAAATATATTCGTACTTCCTGCAATATTTACTTTTGTAAAAAAAATCGTGTAAATCGAATAGATAAAAGAAAACAACAGCTTTTAAAAGATTAAAATAAACAATTTACTTATAAACAATCTTCTGCTTACTGCCATATGTATTTCATTCTTGAAAAAAAAAGATTTGTTTGTAAATTTTTGCTATCGATTTTTCAATGAAAACAAAAGTATTACTTTTCACAACTAATGCGAATGAAAACAGATCGCAAGATAATGTGTGTCGTGAGTGAATGAAAATGACGCACGACGCGAGAAAACCAGTCCTAACGACTTGCCAATACATGTGCACTACAGAAATTAAAATGACGTCACTCTTATTGCGTAAACACGTACACACGGAAATGCTTAAATATTGTGTGTTATCGAGGTTTGTAAAGTTTATTTACGTTGGAATTTTAGAAGAACATTAAAATATGGGGGAGGAATTAGAAGTCAGTGTCTAATAACAATAAGTTATGGAATAAAATACAAAAGAAACACCAAAACATCGCATGCATGTAGATGTGTGAAGTTGGCGGCCTGGCGGCGTGAAGTTGGCGGCCTGGCGGCCTAGCGGCGTGAAGTTGGCGGCCCAGCGGCCTAGCGGCGTGAAGTTGGCGGCC